TAACATACTTTTACAATGCCACCATATACCCTTTCTTAACCCCATCTACTCTATATAGGGTATAGAAAAATAAAAAATATTTGCTTTAATTTGTCGAATTCGTGCGCTAATCATGCGCAACGTTTACTTTTGGTGAAATTTTTAATTGCCGCTTGAAACGCCAGAGAACAAATGTGAGCCATGGGCTTTACTTCCGTGGAAAACGGCAGTGTCATCATTTTGGGTTTGTGTATTGCTGGGGTGTGTGGTAAGTGTGTGTGTGAGTGTATGTCGTGTGCGTCTGGCGTTTCCCTTTATCTAAAGCGCGCCTGGGAAAACGCGAGCTGGCTTAATTGATAGTTAGATAGATGTGGATGGTTGAATGGCCGACTGGAAATACATCGAAACAAATACGTTACAAATGGCATCTCGGACAAAGGTTCACGTTTTTAATAGCTCAATGCGTATCTGTTTGGATTTGCCCATTCGATGGGCTCGAAGTGCAAAGTAAACATTAAATTGGCGCAAACTAACAAATTGACCTTTGTTTCAGCCCCTGAAATGGATTTTTGGGTTGGGCCAAAGTCTGTATATGGAGCTGGGTGCGTGATCTAGAAGCGAACATCAATTGATAATATATTATATATCGATATAGTTTATAACGTGTAGTTTGCACCTCGTAAAAAAACAGAAATGAAAAGTGAATTTAGATAAGAATTAAATTGATTGATTAAATAATTTATAAAACTAAATAAATCAATTGATTTGCAGTATTTTTGAATAAAATTAAATATAATAGATATAATATCATTAAACTGTTAAACTACAAACTCAAGCCAATTAGCTAAATATTCACAATTATTTCCGTATATCGTCTCAAGCTCTTCAATTGGATAATAAATTGTTCCAGTCAGAAATGAGTTGTTAGCTTAAAGCATTCATTTTTGTGCACTTTATGCTCTCTTTAAACACATCACAGAGATCCTGGCATTCGGTGGCCAATTTATCTCCGACATTGATGTATACAAAGTATCTTAATGCCTCTCTCTGCTCGGCGGTTCTCGGACACATTTCGTTGCACGCAATTCAATTTCATTGCACCGTGGCAACATTTTGTTCCTTAGCTGCTTATGAATGAACTTTCCGCCGACAGCGAACAGTTGGAGTCAGCGCTGAGCTCTTGGCTTGGCTGGTCGCTGTCTCAACGGACTGTGGGCCGGGCAGTCCATCATCGCCCACGCCTCGCACCGCACTGCAACGCCCCGCCATGACCTGCGGTCTTCCTGAAGTTGCCTTCGTGTTCGCTTCATTGAAGCGTGCCAATTTTTATTGAAATGTTTCGGCATCTTCTGTTGTGCGTTTACGTATTCTGGTTTCGAGAGGGTAGCACAACTTTCTTAGCATTTGTGTAATGATTAGCAAAGGCAATCGAGAAAAGGAGAGCTAGTTGGAAAGACAGTCAAAGAGATAGAGACAGATACATGATAGACAAATAGAGATAGAGAGAGACAGAGGGAGAGAGAGAGGCATAGAGAGTGAGTGAGAGAGAAAGACAGAGAGAGAGGCATATAGAGAGTGAGTGAGAGAGAAAGACAGAGAGAGAGAGGCATATAGAGAGTGAGTGAGAGAGAAAGGCAGAGAGAGAGAGAGAGGGCCATAGAGAGAGTGCGTGAGAGAGTGAGAAACAAGAACAGAGACAGAAAAATCGTGAGCGAGCTAGAGAGGGAGAGGAAGAAAATGTTACAGAGTGACAGAGAAGAATAGATGACATTGATAGTGAAATATATTTCAAAGTTTTGTGCTTTTCTAAGTATATTTAAATATAAATGAATAAATTTGCAATGAGACTCCTTATATAATAAATGGGAGAGAGTATACAACCTTCAGCATGCCGCTCTTTCCCGATCCATATTCATCTTTAATTTGTTGCATGCTTTACTTGTGCTTTTTTATGGCATTTTTGGTGGCGACACACCAGTTGTCGGCGATGTTTTTACTGCTCTGTTTCTTCGCGCATTTAAACGACTGCAATGTTAATTATTTATTTTATTTGTATTTGTCGCTTTCGGTTTGTTAACGTTTATCAGCTGGCAACAGACTGCAATTTGTTAGCACTGAAAAATGTCGCCAGCTCGGGCAGGGATAGTCCGGCTTAAATTCTGTTTAAACATTAATTAAGTGATTTATTTATAGATTGTTCACGATTTTCAATTGTTTGAAGTTATTTAGTTATTTTCATTGTAAAGGAAATGCATGCATTTTTCGAGAGGAAAATCCCAAAACCGTTGAACGAAACAGGTTCTCCGTTTGACTATAAAATGCAGTAGAATTTGCTTTCGCTAAGCGTGGTTTAAATTATAGCTTCCCGAATTGATTCTTCGCGTTTTGTTTGTAATTTTATATTTTAACTAATTGATATTGTTTATTAAACAGCTTTATTTAATATTTATTCCCGTTTACTACCTGTTGAACAGGTTTACGTTGAGCGTTCTTGAATGTCATTTCTCTTTACATGAAACATCTCTGGCAGGAATCAATTTGAATTTTAAAATGTTGAAATATTATAATTTATTTATTATTATATAATATATATAATATAATTATAATTATATTATAGCTGTAAGGGAGAACTGTTTATGCTAATAAAATATTGAATATTAAAAAGTATAATAATAAATTTATAAAAATTAAATGAGTGTTCTAAAATTCATTCTTAACTCTAATCTAGTTTACGAAATATGAATATGATTCCCATAATAATTGAAACCTTTTTATTATACTCATTTTGAATGGATTGATGGGTGAAATCAAGTTTAAAGCCTAAAACTATTTTAATAAATATAATTTTACAAAATAATTTAAACTTTTTCTTTAAGGAATTTATAAGATATGCAAGAGCTCCGCATTCATTGCGAACAGACACAGTCTAGCCATATTTGCATCAAGCTGGTTGTTGAACTCACTCAATGGGCTGTGAATTCACTGTTTTGTCTGTTATATGTATGTATTTACATATGTATCTATACACCTGCATTGTGTCCATTGTATCGAATCTTTTTGGCTGCTTGATTGTGATAATCATAAATCCTCAAATGCTCATGTTCGTGACCTGCAAAACAAATTGGAGTCCATTCATCTCAATTGAAAGTTCAAGGCAAAGCTGTTGACTGGTTGGCATTGATATTTGCGTTATTTTATATTTATAAACTCAATTTTCAACACGTGCATCGATCACATGCGGCAAACAGTAGAATCGATCACAATTGCTCACAGTCGATCATCAGTCGAGCTGCTCCGATCTGTTCTACTGCAATTATTTGGCAATGCACGGGGCAATTTGTGAATACAAATATTTGTATATACATATACTGCAATAAATGTATACCTACATACATACATACATACATATGTACTTACACGCAAATCAGGAAATACGAAGCAGAAGCGAATACAAATGACAACAACAATAAGAGTACGTCACGTGCGCCAGGGCTGCATTCGCTCGGTCTTTGCATGCCAAAGCAAAGCGAATACATAAACAGTTATTATTGTGTTTGTTTTGCTTTGCCTTACAGTCGACGCTGACGCTGACGCTGGCTGTCGCCGTCGCTGGCTGCGCTGATTAAGCAGCAAAAGCTAAGGTGCTTGCATTCTGTGCGGTCAGTGATAACTGTCACTTGCCCAGCACCGAACGCGCCAAGTGACTGGCCGAGTGAATTCAAATAAATTTTGCAGTAAATGCAATTAAAGTGTTTTTAATAAAGTTTTTAAAATTAAAAACCAAGTTCTAACAGACAAATATAAAGGTGATTAAGAAGTTATTAATTGAAATCAAATCAAAGTTATGCAAATATAAAGACTTAAATCATTTTAATAAAAATAAAAATATAAATATTTTTAATCTTTTTGTTATAAAGTACAACCTTTTAAATGTTACTATGTTTATTTATTTTTTATTTTATTATTTTTACTCATTACTTACATGCGAAAAATGTTTTTAATCCTCGAAATTTAAAAATTAAATAAAAAATATTTAATAAAGTAAAATATAAACAAAACTAAATAAATAAAAGAAATTAATAAATAAAAATATAATAACTGAACTTAAAATATTTACAAAACTAAAGTGCTTAGTGATAATTAAATATATTAAAATATTATATATCTTATATAAATTGATTTAATTTAAATTGCTTGCAAAGCTAAAATTTGTGTCAAAATATTAAATTGATTTAATATAAAATATGGTGAAGGGAAAACAAATTTAAATAAAAATCAGAGAAAATATATTTAAATATTAAAGCAGATCTAAAAACATGTTTTCTGAATTAAAGAAGTCAACTCAAATACAAATATTATTTATAAATAGTTTTATATTGGTACTGGCATTGAGAAAATGATATAAAATTTCCTCTGGCAATTAAAACAAATCATTTCAACTTTTTTACATAATTAACATTTATAATAGAAGATATTTATTACCGTTTTATGTTTTTCTTATTATTTTTCTACAACTGCAACAAATTGTTCATAAATTAGTCAATTAAAAATAAATGCATTTATGTGTGAAGTTGCAGCTGGGAATAGAGCACGAAACCTTGGCGGACTGTGAGAGTTAAAGCTGAGTGGGTACCTAGGCACGTCAGTAAATATATATACATATACTGTTATTAGCTATAACAGTAAAACAAAGCACATATATATGCATTTGTGATATGAGGAATATAACAAAGCTCGTAAAGCAAGACTCGAAAATCTCTTGATGAAATGATATACATATCAAATGCTTATCGTCGTCTAGACTATATATACTATATAGGAGATATACGTGTTTTCGTGACTCTCATGGTCGTCGAGCATTATAAATTGATTTATTTTTTTTTGTAGAGCAACAGTAATAAAATATAAAATATAAATAAAAAATGTTTGTGTAGAAAGAATTTCGTTTGTTATCTTTGTATTTTTAAGCAGTAAAAAACATTGCGGTTATTATATGTAAGTGTAGGACTAGATATACATATATAACAAACACAATTATCTGTTAATCTGTCATTAGGCAAATCGTTTCACATTAGAGTCCAACCATATAAGTCCAATAAGAATGCAGTCCCGCCCGTTCTACTTTTTATGCGCAATTCATAAAGAATATGAATAATTTTATAATGATGAAATGCAGTTGGTGGATTACAAACAAATGTTTTAATCAGACACTGGATCAAGAATAGCAAAAATGTAGAAATTAAACCGAATATTTAAACACGCTTTGTTGAGAATATACAAATATATTATAAATATATAATATTAGCGAAGAGAAAATATACTATAGGAAAAAAATAATAGAATCAAGAATCAAGAATTATAAATGTAAAATTCAAGATAATTAAAAACATTATTTATATTATTATAAACAATAATACAAATTAATTTCAGGTTAAGAAACGATATATATGATTTTGTTTTGCTGTAATTATCATCATTAAATCAGAGAAGTCTAAGCATTGTTATTGATTGATTTTAATGATTTAATTGGCTTAAACGATCTGATGAATATGGAATATATTCTTAGATGAAATTAGTGATGGCAAACTAATTGATATATATTTTTGTCTATTCATATTCTTGTCTATACGTATAGAATGACAAATAGTAACTAGATTAGATGTAACTCATCATTGAAGGCAATGAAAAAGCCTACGCAGGGTATTAAAACTATTGCATTAGCCGATTAATGAAGGTAATGAGGAAACACATAGGAGACATGTTTATCCATTTGCGTAATCAAACAACATTAGTTGCAAATGTTAACGCGCTTATGCAAATCAAATTAGCTAAAGCTGTACTTCAAATGGAACTGGATATATGTATGTTAATCTGGCGCTCATAAGTTGAATTTTAATTGGTATTTCAGATGCAGCTGCAGTCGAGATCTTTGC